TAAGGATTCAACAGATGCCATAGCTCTCAGAATAGTACCTAATGGTAGCTAGTATGCCATTTATATCTGACCTCAGTGTAGAGATAGGGGATTTAAGCAACTGGAATTGGTTTCCAGGGTGACATGCTTGGGGCAGAAGCCTTGTAAAAGAGATTGGAGGACTTTCCTGTCCCTACAGTTGTCAGACCCAGGAGCAGGGACAGTGTTAGGGCTGCTCTCTTCTGGGGACTGGGCGGGTGACCTGTGTCCTCTCTGCTCTTGGACAGCAAACCACCCTGAAGTACCTACCTTATGCAGGCCCCTCTCCTGAGGCTACGATGTGGAAATGCCCTTTCCTCCAATCCCTGTATCAGACCACCACAGCCCTGAGGCCTTGTAAGAGTTCTAGGTGCCCCTTTGAATTTAACATTCAGAACACAGTGAATTCTAATTTTCAGTATCGTATCCAGGGAGTCACCCAGATTCACACTCCAAGCCCAATATTTCAGGATGTGAGGGTTTGCCAGACCACCGAGAGTGTGCAGGGCACTCCATCCTCAGCCAGGCCTGGGGCCTCGGAGGCTCCTGACCACCAAGCCCCCCGACTGAGGCTGAGCAGGACTCTGCCACCACATAATGTCCATATTTTCCTTGGGCTCCTGACAGTTTCCCAAATCACCACCATCCCTTGGTTTCAACTTGCACAGTGTTTTCTTTGAGGTCAGGACAGGGGGAGGCGGGGCAGCCAAATGCCAACAGAAAACCCTCAGTAGCTGCCTTGGCGGAATTCAGCCTCGACACTGTGTTCCGCATCCCCCGTCCCTCTGTGTGGTTGGTAAAGTCCTCTTACGTTCCAATGGGCATGGACCTCTTCCAGCTTCCAGGAGTCCTGGGAGATAAACGGCCCTGCATGGGAAGCATTTGGACTCAGTCTGGAAAACAGATGAGAATGAGTGGGCAGAGAGGGACAGGGACGCTGGCCACAGAGCCCTTGGCCAACCAAGGAAGTGAAGCTGTTGGACGTTACCTCTGTGGGGCGTGGTTGTCTCCAACATAAGATAAAGTGGTGTTCATCTTGATTTTGAGCAAAAAGGGTGGTTAGAACTAGGTTGTGGGGGTCAGCAATTGCTTATCTTCATAAAGTGAGATTAGGCAACACTTTGCTATAATGAAAATGCATGGATAGTCCTCAAGTGTGAAATTAGCAACTGGGGACAACCTTAGTGACCACGTGTGCCACCATCCTGATTTTACACATGAGGAAACTGAGGCCCGGAGACCCAGGTTGGCACAGCTGTTAGGAGGCAGAGCTAGCCCTGTAGCTCCAACCGTCGAGTGTTCATCAAGGCCGTCTGTGCCCCGGGATTCCTCCGCCGAGTGCCTCTTGCTGCCAACAGCCGGTCACATGGCCTTGGAGTCATGGAACTCGGGGCCTCTGGTTCCTTATCTGTCAGCTGAGGCCAAGGGGCCGCATGATCTTGGAGCTGCCTCCCAGAAACAACATTCCAGGGTGCTCTGTTCCCTTTCCAGCCTGAGACAGCACAGAGCGGCCTGGCCTCCCCACCAGCAGGCACTTTTATCTCCCACGGTCTGGGCCGGAATCGGAGCAGGGTTTCTGCTATCCTGGCAGAAATGGGTCAGGATGGAGGACCCTGGGATTCCCAGGCTTCTGGCTGGCAGTTCCTTCCTTTGGACCAAGGTGTGGGCAGGACGGGATGGTTTCCCCCCACATCCCCTTTCCGTGGCCCCCGCCACCGCCCGCTCCTCAGCCTCCTTCCCTGGGCATCAGGAACTGGTTCCCGGCAGGTTTGCAGAGCTAGGTGATCTGCATTCCAGCCCTGCTCTGCTGCCTGCCAGCTGGGGCCCTCAGGCAGGCATCAGGCCTCCCTTTGCCTCTCAGTTTCTCCTTCGGTGAGATGGGGTGAGGGCTGGATGGGCTCCTGTGTGTGAGGCACTGGGAGCCAGGCACACAGGGCTGCCATCCTGAGCTCTCTGCACAGCACATGGAGAGCCTGGCCTCCGATGACCCTGGCCAGGCACTGAGTCACTTGATTGAGCCAAGGGAGCATCTGCAGCAGGATTAGCTCGTCTGACTCAGACCCGGGCAGCATCAGGCAACCTTCAGAAAGGGGGCCACCCTGAACCGCCCAGAAAAGCATCGTTGTCCCGATTGGAGTGATTTCTGCGTAACCAGAGTTGGAGCACAACGGGCAGAGATCTCTACTCACTGCAGACCCCGTCTCCACTTCCCTCTCTGGGTTCTGCTGAGGCAGACCCGGTGTCACACTGACAGCCCCCTGTCATCATGAGCACCCTGTTCACAGGCCACCAGGGACTCCGGGGAGAGGGGGAGGCGAAGCTCTGGGCACGTCTCTGCCCCATCGGATTGGCCCTGAACCTTCAGTGGCCTTCTGGCCCTACCACTCACAGCTCTGCACTCCCGCTGGGGCCTAGGGGGTTACTGCTGGCACCTGGAAACCAACAGCACCAATTTGGGAGCCAGGGGGAGCTCTGCCCCCTCCCCAGCTTTCCTAGGGATGGAGGCATCCTGCAAGATTCTGAAGTTCAGCTCCTCTAAACCCAGACCAAGCGTGTTTAGGTGGCCAGACCTGCCCATCTGAAAAGATGGGTGCACCAGCCACAGGGCCACAGTATCTCTCTGCTGCCTTTCAGCAAGTGTCCCTTCCAGAAGACAGACGGGAAAGTGGAGACGCCCAAAGTGAAGAACATAAGCACTCAAATGGCCACTGGAAAAGATGTTTGCCAGCCAGGCTATGCCGTGCAGCTGGAAGAGAGGGCAGCCCCAAATCACACAATCCCCAGTTACCTGACGAGGTGAAGCTAACAGATTCTTTCAGCCAACTTAATAGGGATCAACTGTGGGTGCCTGGAGGCAGGGACTGAGAGTTGCCTGGAAAGGGGCTGTGGGAGCTCTCTGGGGTATTGGACGTGTTCTGTGCCTTCACCAGGGTGGTGGCTCAGTGGGTGACTTCATTTGTCAAATGCATCAGACTGTCCCCTGAAAAGCTGTGCATTTTAGTAAATGTAAATTTTACCCCAATTTTTAAAAGTTAGAAAATTACTTAAATAACATCTACTTATAATATTTAACCTAACCATGTAGTTTCATACTTAAAATAACATAATATGTTAATTTATACTGTTCCCATCCACACCTTTCACAAAATGACTTGATGCAAATGTACATCTTTTGAGATTAACGTGCACGTTTAGTTGAGTATTTTCACAGCATATCATCTTCAGTTTGTCTAATTGATTTTAAATGCAGAGCACGTTGAATCCATGATGAAATTGTTATTGCTGCTAACATTTTATTGCAAAACACAAATGCCCTTCTGCATGATGTTGTAGCAGTTGTTTTTCTCATTTGTCCTACAATTGATATTTATGATCCTTGCTACATAAGCAACTGAGGTTTTGCTTCCTAAAATGAGCTTTAAAATATCACAATTTACTACTGTACCCCAGGAATAATCACCAAATCTGTGTTAACCCTCATTGCCTCCCTCCTATTTATTCCCTCAAGTGACCACCAAAATCATCTGAAACCAACACTTGAGACCATTTCAGGCTGGTATAGCTCCCCAGATTTTGTGGTTCAAATACAGTAATTAAGAGGGTACTAATTTATAAGATCCTTTTGAAAAATAAGCCCTAAACTGTGAGATATTTGTAAAGGCAACACTCTTTCTAATGATTAAAGGAAATACACCTTCTTCGTCTTGTTAGACATTATAGTAAATCCTGACATCCGAGTTCAGACCAAAGATAAAATAGAAATTAATTTAGCAAATGTGGGGGTCTTATTTATAGTTCATTACTAAAAGATTAGCATTGTTAGCTTAAATCAGAAGTTTCTTATGTAATAAGTTTTACACTAAATTTTGCTCCAGACCATGCATGAGCAGTTGGAACATTCTTGAGTAAATTGAAACACACTGTTTTTTTCTCAAGGGCATTACAGATAGTAGAGTTTAAACAGATGATTCTAGTTAGAAATGGCATTGCAAACACAATTCTAAATTGCCATTTACTAATTATTAATTTTGTGGCATGGCTTTAAACTATGTCCAGTCTTCTTCAGCTACAACCAGTGTGATGTGACGATGTATCAAGAAGACTTTGTCTTTTCAATAGTGCCTCAATTTAGACATTAAAAAATGGTGTTTTTTTTGAAGGAATCAGCATGCAAGACTAGACAGTGTTCTGTTGTTTTGTTTTTGTTTTCAGCGTTGCTATTGCTCAGCACCACCGCCACTGCTGTCAGAAGCAAAGTCAGATAACTCACCAAGAGCTAGCTGGGCATATAAGCTCCTGTATGGCTCAGTTCGGTTGCTGCCTGACAATTTTTTTTCTTGCAGCAGAACCCTGGTTTTAAATGACATTCTATGTGGTCAATGTTCTGGTTGGAGCAGAGCTGGGGGTCCCAAGCAGTCCTGCTGGTCGCCTCTTCTCCCCTCTGGGGACACTGCTAAGTGGTTTTATAGCACCCTAGTTGCTCCATGGCACACAGGGCAAAATCCTCTGGCAGCAGATCATGCATAAAGGCTTGGTCTCAGAAGACCTGGGTTCAAAATCTAGGTTCTGGACTCTGTGATTGTTGTCAAGTAGCTTTGCCTGAGTTCCATTTTCCGGTCCAGACAAAGAACATGATGGCTTATCTCAGAAAGTTGCTGTGAGGCTGCTTGTAAATGTGATTTGGGAACCAGGAAGGTTTACTTTGTTCCTGAAGCCTTACTGTTCTCTACTCACATTGCATTTATGTGTTACATGCCATCTTACCTCAAATCTTTAAGGACTTAGAATCCACATTTTCTGTTGTTTGGCCTTACTGATGTCACCCCTTTTGCTTTTCAGCTTTTCAGCCATCATTGTCCACTGTAGAATGGATGGGGGAATGGGGGAAAGCTGACTCTACTGCCACTTCTGCAATAAGGGGCTCCAGGCTTATGATCCATTCCTGGGACAGGCCACTCTGACAGATTTCTTTCCATTTCCAGGTGGGCCAAGAGAAGGGGAACTGTTCTTTCCAGAAAAATCCAACCCCCTGCATCATCCCTCAAGAACAAGAAAATATCTTCCATACAATATTTGCTTTTTTCTCAAAGTCTGGAAGAAAAGTCTTGGTAAGAACATGCTTACTGACTGGGTTTACATGGGTGGTCCTTACTAGAAAGGCAAATTGAGATGAGAGGCCAGCTTTCTATTTGGCATTTATTATTTCCCAAATCTGGCTTTAATCATTTGGCTTATGAAATCACAAGGACTATGGTCAACTCCTGTTTTTCAGCTGGAGGTTTCAATCAAAGTGTTAAATTTATATCCCAAATCTCACTGCCCTGCAAAGGGAAAAACCTTTGCAGCCCACCAAACACAAAGGAGAGCATTTCTCCAACTAATGAGTATAATGAAGAATGATGGTTCTTGTGCAACCCCTTTGGAAAGCTGTGCATTATCTATAAAAAGATCCATACCCTTTGGCCTGGCAGTTCCCCTCCAAGGTATATCCCCAAGAGAAATGAGTACTCGTGTCCACCCAAAGATATGGACAAGAATGTCTGCAGCAATCTTACAGCCAATCAAAAAATCCATCAACAGGAGAATGAGTAAATAATGATGGTATATCCAAACATTGGAATATTACAGAGCAATAAAAAGCTGCTATGTGCAACGTGAATGAATCTCACAGTCGTAATATTGCATGAAAGAAGCTAGAGACAAAAGAACATTGTAATGTTTCACTTAGGTGAAGTTTAGAAATAGCAAAACTCTCAGTCGTGGAGTTCAGGATAGTGTTTACTTCTGGAAGAATATCAGCAGAGCAGCATGAGGGAAGCCACTTAGGTACCGGAAATATTCTACATCTTGGCCTGTGTCTAAACATATACAAAAATATATCAAGATAGACCCTTAAGGTTTATTCTGTTTACTGTATGTAAGGTATTCCTCCAATTTTTTTAAGTGAAGATATTAGAGATGGAATCATATGCTTTTCCAAAGTGTCCTTCCCCCATATCTTTGGTTACATCTCTTTAGGGCCTTATTTTGGCCTAGGTACATCTCACTCACATATTTTCCCTCACTTTTTTTCCTTGTAGAAGCAGGACTGTTTGCTACTTGGAAGGTTGGCTTTTCACTTACACTGATGCTGATGATACAAATATTTTTTAAAGCCCATAGAATTGTTAGTCGTAGTTGTAACTAGTTGTTTGACAGATACAACTCTGTATCTGCTGAAAAATCTTACCCTGCCAGCAAAACATCCTGAAGGTATGTACATATATTGTAGATCCCACAACATAGAAGAGAAGAACTCCTCTTTTGTATCTTAAATTTGGAATTTAGGTTTCTGTTGGCAGTTCTTGTATTTTCTTGGTCAAACATGTTTTTCTTTCCTGGTGCTTTGTCTTGAGTTCTCTGGTGACTTCTTAGCCCTCTAATTTGCCCTGCTTAAAAAACATGGCCGTGAAAGTGTATTTGACTCTGCACAGGCAGAAATTTTTACATAATGCAGGAAATATGGTTTGTGTCCAAAACTTGTAAGAAAAATGCTTTCGGAATATGCAAATGTGTTTCTCTTTAAAAACAATTATTTTGTTTTTAAATTGTGAAATCCAGGTTTTCAGTGGGGTAAGCCAGTGAGCTGCTGTCCTCCCAGTTGCTTGACTTGAAGGCATGTTCGGGCACCGTCTGGGCAGGAAATCCTTCGATTGCCCTCTGGCGGCGAG